TGTCCACTTTCCCACTGTTCCTATCAATATCTATGTTCCTACTTAATATCGTCACCATTAAGGACAAATGCTGGTACTTTTGATAAGTAGAAAGATAATGAAAACTCTAACAGCTATAGAGTTGTAATCAAAAGCCCGCAAGACAACAAAAGTACCAGAGGAGTTATATTACTGAAACAAATATACCATGGACTGCTAAGAGAACAAACAGGTTCATTCTAGTGAAGGTTATATCAGGCTGCTCCTTGGAGGTGAGGATTCTGAAGCTTCTTCTGACATACTTTGGACATGTTGCAGGGAGGTACCAAGCCCTTGGAGAGGGACGCCATGTTTGGGAGGGTGGAGGGACAGCACAGGATAGGAAGACCCTCAATGAAATGAATTGATTCAGTGACTGGGGTGATAGTGTAGATGTGTCAGATACAATAAGATTGGCACAGGCTAGAGCAGGGTTCAGAACTGTTGTACATATGGTCGTTATGAGTCACAAGAGACTAGACGGCATATAACAACAACAATAATAACAACAAAAAGAGGTTAGGGTTAGCCTTTACCAACTTCTAGTTATTTTCTGGTGGTTAAATGTGTCTTTAATACTATAGTTATATTTTTGTTGCTTTAGATCTATGTCCTTTCAATGTGGTGACAGACTCTCTCAATGACTCTCAATGACATCTAGTTCCCAAATATTAACCTTTTCATTGATGTTACGTCAGAGCTGATTGATAGATGACCCTCCACTGGGTTTCTGAGGATATAAAATAAAGAGAATGAGATTGCCTGCATTTCTCCCTTAAAACCACTCGTGGGTTTGATCCACCAGTGCAGCTCAATCTTTGGGTTCTTTGTGCAACTCCCTAACAACTATCCTACTAGATTGCCTTTAAAAATAAGCTAGGGGACCGGGAGTACTCTCCATTGCATGTGGGGAGATGGGACTAAGGCATCCTTAGGGTTATAGGTCCCTCTATCTGGGAGTCCTTGCCTCCACGGCTCCGGGGCCATTCCAGGGGCCAAACAGGACTAAAGACTTTAGTATACAGAACTTCAAGTAGGGGAACGAATTTTCATAGCTGAGAGAGAGAGAGAGAGCGCGAGCAAGTTGACTTGAGACCCCTGCATGCAAGCAGCTTTAGTTGGTGGCACTGCTGTCTAATATCTTGCCACTCAAGAGACAAAGGAGAACATTAAGTTCCAGGAGAAAAGGTGCAAGAGAAACTGCTTGAGTAGAGCACCTGTTCTCACACCACTCAGCCACTTCACACATGAAGGAGACCTATAAAGTTGGTGACAGGGGACTATATCAAGGCAAGATTCCTACTATTCTGCAGTGCAGAACAGAGAGAACCTCAAGGACCTTGTTGTTGTTGTTATGTGCCATGAAGTCGCTTGCGACTCATAGCGACCCTATGTACAACAGCTCTAAACTCTGCTCTCTCCTGTGCCAATCTCATTGTTTCCGACACACTCATTCTGATTACCCTAGTCATTGAATCAATCCATCTCCCAGAGGACCTTCCCCTCCTGTGCCTGCCCTCCACCCTTCGAAGCATGATGTCCTTCTCCAAGGACTGATCCCTCCTTACAACATGACCAAAGTATGTCAGACGAAGCC